TTCATTATCTAACTGACTGTCTAATTACATTTTTAATTTTTATACCTCTTCAACTACTTTATTGGTTGAGTAATTGGCAACTACATCGTTGGTTTAGTGGTTGCAATGACGACTGCCGAGCAAAACGTCTTGGGTTAAATCTAGAAGTATTAATGGCGTTTTGTCCACGGGTTTTGTCGATTGTTTACTCTCAGTAATAGCATAAAAACCGAAATTGTAAACCAATGAATGACAATAGGCCCACATGGCACTTTTTTATGAGATAAGCTGGTAAACGAGCAGACGGATCACCTGATGGTAAGCAATCGGCGTCGTCCATGGACACCTGGAACACCAGAGGCGTTACAAGTGCGTCACTGGCCTTTTGGGATTAGAAATTTGAGGATTGATGGGGATTTAGGAATTGGGAAAGGGCCATTGCAATTGGGCCAACATAAATGGAGAAATTAGGATCTTTTATATACCCCTTAGGAAATAAAAGGCGTGACATAGTTAATTTTATAATTAAATATCTATAAAATATCCCAATCTAGAAATATATATAATATATTATAACTCATCCATATCCGTGGAAACACCGTAATTTAACTCGTCGAGTACCGGTTTTATAGACACAATTAAAGAACAACAGTTTAAACTGTCCAACACCAAGCGGTCACCGGTGACCGCGACCTATTGTTCTTTAATTGTGTCTATAAAACCGGTACTCGACGAGTTAAAAATAAAATGTTATTTCATATTACGTTGCAATGACACTGTAACCAAATGATTATTTACGATGATGTACCTACGATTACCAAAATTCCCAGACCCCAGCCCACAATCAAATTACACTACGCATGCCAAATGTCAAAATATTGACAATAGAATAAAAATAAACAATCGCACACAAAATCATTATGGCGATTGCAATATCATGTTGCACAGATAATAATACAATTACACAGATACTGAAGAGTTAGGGAGGGGGCGTAACTCGATTACGTTGTCATTATAATCGATATTTTATGTCTGTGGTTCTGTTAATTGTTTGTTTCTTCACGCGTTGTGAATAGGGTTAGGGTTGGTTTAATGATAGGAAATAATTATGATTTTCTCTAATTCTATATGGAAGTTGTGAAGTGAGTTATTATTTAACGGATGGGGTAAACTAAAGACCATTGGTATTATACCTACATTTTTTAATTTTTAAAGAGAGCTAAGAAACGTAGCCGCTTTCGTTTTTACCATTTTATCGCCCCTTAACCCTCTATAAGTTTAATAAAAATGAAATATATCTTTTACAACAAAATGCTCTCATTTGAAAGGTAACCAAATTGCCTTTTATACGACACTAGCAATCTGCCCCGGCTTCACACGGTTGCAATAGGTAGGTATACATGCATTATACATATAGTTAAACCTTTCTTAAGAATCACTCTATCTATAAAAAACTGCATCAAAATCCGTTGCGTAGTTTTAAAGATCTGAGTATACATAGGGGCAGACAGACGGCGGATAGCGACTTTGTTTTATACTATGTAGTGATACGTTACCAATTAATAAATTATTTGTATCGGGAAATATTTATCAAGAAATTAAAAAGATAAAATGCTAGTACACACATGAATCTGATGCATTTGCACCTTGTGTCAATTCTTTATTAGGTATTTTCTTTTAAACACATATAGGAGTACTTTATAATAAAAGTTTAACTTGACAATATGTTTCACCACGACACGTTGCGCCACATCCGCTTGTCCGGCCACTGCATCAACCATAAAGTCATAAAATTCTATAAATTGCTCCCAAATGAGTTCCGTATTCAAGTAATAAACTATTTAATTATTAATTTACCTAAAATAACGTATTTAATGTTAGTTTTTTTACCAAAAACAGTTATTTCTCGCACGCGTTAACACCCAAGGGTGCGATCACGCCCATGCCTTGTTAATTACGAGCAAAAAAAAACAACATTGACACCGCTCGTGTCGGGTGACAGTTCAGCTGTCAAATTTGCCGCGTTTTTTTATGTAAGGATGTGGTGCAATGGGTTGGCTTTGGAAAATGTTAAAATTTCTTACACTTCAAACTTACTTTAAGAAAGAAATAAGAAAACAAATAAATTTATCCACATAATTTCCGATGGGCAAGTACCTACTTATCAAAAAAACTTTAGGTACGTTGCACCTGCAACAGTTCGCGATTTTATTTAGAGTGATAACGAAAGGATAGAAACACAAAGAAAAATGCTATTCGGAGCGGCGCCAGATGTAGCAATTTATTTACAAACATTGCTCATGGATCTTGCTTTGAATCGATTATTGACATCAGTGATATAAAGTTTCTGACAGTAATCGATTTTAATTCACAGATTTTGGATAGGTTATTAAAATCGACAGTAAATAAAGTGTAACATATTTAATACTAGCCACCCGCTCCGGCTTCGCACGGGTGCAATATGCATGTATTATATATATAAAACTTCTTTAAGAATCAGACTATATATTAAAAAACCGGATCAAAATTCGTTGCGTAGTTTTAAAGATCTAAACATACATAGGGGCAGACAGACGGCGGATAGCGATAGTCATAAGAACTCAGTGTAACACCAACCTATTAAAGTATTAATTTCAAAACTTCCTAAATGTCAAAGTTCCCGCGCGCGCCATTTTTTACTACCATAGACAAATTAACTGCAACTTATCCGTGTAACAAGCGCATAATTACGGTTTAAAGCTATTTTAAAAATAAAAAAAACTAAAGGAAGTTATCATTTGACACCATTTTTTTTTTACAATTTGTGAAACGTGTTTTGTTTTTTTGTGTGCTATAGTACAGTATTGAGTTATTCGGCCACTGGGCAAACCTTTTTTAATCTTATTGAATGTGAATACATACATAATTATGGTGATTGCAATAACCAGATAACCTCCTATTGGTTTATGTCCGCGGGACGATGATAAACAAAACCCAGTGGTATTTTACCCTACTCGCGAATCGAACCCGAGACCCTTGCCCGGGAGTCGCATATTGGAAACTATCATGCACTTCGAGCCGGAGCCCCGGTAACCTGTTAGGTTCTCCGCGACTCCGTATCGGCATCAGTCCTATTGGGCCCCCTCCGTGGTGGTCTGATGGCTCTTTGAAGAGGCGCACGCGAAACGCGACGCGCCGTACGCTCGGGTCGGGTGCTTACCCTTGAAACCAATCTCAATGACAATGCAATTTTAATCCAATACAATCTCAATAATTATTCAATGTCAAAACTATACAACCACAATTGTAGCTGTTACAATAGCATTCAGAGTACGGAATATAAAGCCAAACTCAATACCATTTAGTTCATTCAATATCCACGCAATACGAATGCAATGGGGGCTGGTGTAGCAACTCAAGAGTACGAAATTTCGCAATACCAATGTCGATCGATCGGAATTGGATTCAAGAGTAAGCCACCTGGTTCTGGTCGGGCGGCGCCACCCATGCTCGCCGTCCGCAGGCCCGCGCTTACGGTGGCCGGAGATCGTACATTATGATCACTGGACATGTATTTTGGCAATAGTTACTATCGGCCCATTAGCTCAGTTGGTTAGAGCGTCGTGCTAATAACGCGAAGGTCGCGGGTTCGATCCCCTCATGGGCCATAGACTACTTTTTGTAGCTTTTTATTTTCAATTTTTTAGAGGAAAATACCTACTATTTGTAACTATATTGTATTTTTGCGCTACAGAGGACTTGAAATTGAAATCTATTTCTATTATGTGTAATAAAAAATTTACGATTTACAATATAAATATAGCAACTGTCACTGAATAGGATAGTTTCCTTTTTTATTTTAATGTCCGTCTGGTACATTAATTTGAAACTTTAGACACGTATTTTTTTCTTATCTCACAAAATTAAATAATTTCGACAATATATTCATTTCAAATATCGTGTGACGTCACAGCGTGCCACATCTTGTAGCACGTTATGACGTAACGACCTCGCACTCCTAAACTTAACGCCATTTTATCTAAGTATTGCAACTTAATACGACAAAATAAGAAAATACGTGTCTAATATTTTTTCATTATCTAACTGACGGACTAATTAGATTTTTAATTTTGATACCCTGGAAACTACCCAATTAGAAGAGTGAAGCCGGAATAGGAAGCTCTGTTTGAACAATAAAAGGATCACTATATAATAATTACATTTAATTGCATTAAAAATCAAAACCATATAAAAATTTGTTATTCAGCATACATAGGTATTACACATACATAATTATAATGCATTGAATTGACAAAAAATATAAAAACTAATCATTATGTAGTACCGGCTACTCATGTAACGATTTAAGAAGGTAACTCAACTAATTTCAAGCCAAGCCGGGACCCATAATCATAAATAATTATATTATTATATAACAACACGCCTTTTATCCCCGAGGGGATAGGCAGAGGTGCACAATACGGCACTTGATGCCACTGTACAGTGTAACACCCACTTTTCACCATTTATGTTATGAGTCCCATGTAATAGGGGTGAGCCTATTGCCATATACCGGATACAATTCCAGACTCCGTGCTACTACAGAGATTTTTTTTTTAAACTCAATAATACTTTGCACGACCCGGGAATCGAACCCAAGACCCCTTGCCCGGCAGTCGCACTTGCAACCACTCGGCTAACGAGGCATAAATAATATTTACGAAAAATGCCGAGCAAGTGAAATAATCTATACTAATATTATAAAGCTGAAGAGTTTGTTTTTTGTTTGTTTGTTTGAACGCGCTAATCTCCGAAACTACTGGTCTGATTTGAAAAATTGTTTCTGTGTTGGATAGCCCATTTATCGAGGAAGGCTATAGGCTATAAAATATCACGCTACGATTATTAGGCGCCGAGCAGTGCGAGTGAAACTGCGTAGAAGTAGCTAGTACCTAGATACGTATAGTTGAGGTACCCCGTGAAAACAGTTGCATGAGTTAAGCCATAAAAAAGTTATAATACAAATATTTTATGATTTACGCTTAAGATTTTCTAAAACGCATTATTTTTCGACTCGCAATCCTCTGTTGAACAGGAGTTAGACCAGAAGCTTCTGTTGATCCAGCATCAGAAGACTCTTCTTCATTACCTTCTGAATTAGATTCACTACCATCGCTTCCTTCATCATTGTTCGAAGATCCTTCATCATTGTTCGAAGATCCTTCATCATTGTTCGAAGATCCTTCATCATTGTTCGAAGATCCTTCATTATTATTTAGTTCTTCTTCCAAAGGTACGATGCCGTCTGATTCATCATCATCAGGAATGTCTTCTAAAGGCGCTCTATCTACAGAATCTTCAACATCACTTTCTTCTTCTATAACATCAGAATCATCAGTATTAGCTATTACTTCTTCATCCAAAGGTACAGTTCCATCAGAACGGAAGATTTCCTCGAAACATCTTAATTCTTTTTCTTGTATATCTTCAACGTTTCTTCTTAATACTATTCTGTTTCCTTCTGTGAGCCATATTTGTTGAGTTTTATCAGAATTTGGACTTAATTTGGTGTCTTTCGGGCCATTCCCTGTAACATTATTGTCATTATTGATTGGTGTTTTACCTTTTTTTGATTTAGTAAGTATTCTTATAATGATTTTTGCTAACTTACTTCTGTATATAGGTATTTTTGTCGGTCTTTTGTCTATTTCTGGTCTTTCGGTAAGGTCTTTGTCATCAGCATTAGGTTTTTTATTGACATGCTTTTTAGTTCTTATGAATTTAGTTAGTTTTATTTGTTTATTTTTATTTTTAGATGAGGATTCATCGCTGTTCTCAACTTCATCGCAAGCTTTGAATGTGAAGCCTTCACGGTTTTTGTATTTTAAAACTTCATCCATGCTGTTAACTACTTTGCGTTGGATTGTTAGGTCTGTGTCTTGAGTTTGATCTTTAGTGTCTTTTACTTTGTCTTTTCCAGCTTTAGCTTTGTCGGCATTGTCTTTGTCATCAATTATGGGTTTATCACTATCAGTAGGTGGTTTTTCATCATCAATTGTCTTAGCGTCTTTAGGTTTTTTATCCTTATCATTGTCAGGGGTCTTCGTATCCTTAGGTTGGTCAGGAGTTGTAGTTTTAGTCACTGGTTTGTCATTGTTAGTAATAGGTTTGTCTGATGGTTTTTTGTCAGTATTTTGGTCAGTGGTTTTAGATTCTGGGTTTTTAGTCGCTGGGGCTGGGTTTTTGTCAGTTTCAGTTGGTTTGTTGTTTGGTTTGACAGTGTCTTTAGAATCGGGTTTTTCATTATTGTTAGTGGGTTTATCAATTGGTTTTTTATTAGTATCGTTATTATCTTTGTCTGGTTTCTTGTCTTTGCCAGTCGTTTTAGAATCTGGTGTTTTCTCATTAGTCTTAGGTTTAGTATCGGGAGTTTTGTTGCCAGTGTCATTACTGTCTGGTTTTTTATCAATGTTCTCACGGTCAGGTTTTTTGTCAGTATTTGCTTCGATAGGTTTCTTATCATTTGGTTTATTATCAGAAACCGGATTTTTATCACCGTTTTTGGGCTGGGTGTCTGGTATTTTATTAGTATTTTGATTGTTTGGTGTTTGAGAATTTGGCTTTTTATCATTATTTCCAGGTTCGGGTTCATTGTTCTTATTATTATCAGTGGTTTTCGTTTCTGGTTTTTTTGCAACATCAACATCTTTATCAGGATTCTGTTCCACTGGTGGCTTCTCTTTATTCTCTGGCTTTTTGTCTCTACCAGAATCTTCCGTGTTTGGCGTTTTGCTTTTATTTCCATCCTTATCAGTAGTTTTTGTATCTGGTTTCTCGTCAGTATTTTCAGTAACTGGTTGCTTGTCAGTAGTTTTATTATCTGGTTTCTTGTCAGTCGCCTTTTCTGGCTTCTCAGTAGTGCCCTTTTCATCTTGATTGATGCTTTTGGATTTTGGATTTTTGTCAATATCTGTATTTGGTTTGGCATCTGGTTGGTCAGTATCTTTTGCATCTTTAGCTTCTGGTTTACCATCGTTACTTTCATCAGTATCCGTTTTTGGCTTCTTATCGACATTTTTAGTGTCCGGTTCTTTGTTTTCTGTTGGTTTTTTAACGCCTGTACTTTTGTCATTAGTCTTATCAGTATCTGTTTTTGGTTTTTTAGTAGTATCTTTATTATCAACAACTTGTGTGTCTGGTTTCTTATCCGACTTCGGTTTTTCAGTATCTTTATTGTCCTTTGGCTTTTTGGCATCTGGTATATTATCATCAGAATCATCATCTGCTGGGGTGCTTGATTTTTCATTCAGTTCAGTGTCATCTTTTCCATCATCACTAGCATCTGGCTTTTTATTGTCGCTAGGTTTCTTCGATTCTGGTTGCTGAGTGACCGGTTTATTGGCATTGTTGTTGGGTTCAGGTTTTTTCTTAGTGTCATTTGCTTTGGTTGTGTCGTCTTCTTCAGTATTTTTATAAGTCATAGTTTCATTGTTATCGTCATTATAATCTTCACAGTCTACATCACCGAAATAGTCACAATCGTCGATTTTAGGTTTCGGTTTGTCAGTGTTCTCATCATTGACTGGTTTCTTTTCAGTAGTTGTTTCTACGCGTTCGGAGTCTGTTTCGACTTCATCTTCTTCAAATGATTCTTCTTCGATTTCTACAATATCTTCAGAATCAATGCCATCATCTGGTGAGTTTTGGTCTTCAACACTCTCATCATCTGGTATTTGTGCAGATGGTTTTTCAGTGATATTAACATTTGGTTTTTCAGTATTGTCAGAAGGTTTGTTATTATTTTCAGACGGTTTCTGGTTGCCTTCACCCGGTTTCTTTTCTGGACTTTTATTAGCAGTTGGTTTATTAGTACTGTCATTTGAATTGCCATTAGTCTTATCTGGTTTTTTACCATTTTCATTTGGTTTGTCATTATTTTCCGATGGTTTCTTATCATCTTCAGAAGGTTTCTCGTTTCCATTTGGTTTCTTAGTATTATCAGATGGTGTTTGACCGCTGTCATTTGGTTTATCCTTATTTTCAGATGGTTTCTTGTCATCCTTAGTAGGCTTCTTATTTTCAATTGTTTTATCAGTATTGTTTGTTGGTTTTTCACCATTTTCATTAGGTTTACCTTCATTTGGTTTCTTGTCGTTATCAGATGGTTTATCGTTACTGCCAATGGGTTTCTTAATGTTATCTATAGGTTTCTGGTTTTCAATCGGCTTGTCTTTATTTTCAGAAGAATTTTCATTGGGCGTTTTATTCATTTCAGTAGTTACAGTGTCTGGCTTAACAGTAGTCGCAGTAGATTTGTCATCAGGTTTATTTTTGCCAGTATTTTTAGCATCTGATTTTTCTTCTTGATTTGGTTTTTTGCTGCCTTCCTGTATATCTTCGTCTGAGTCTTCAGTACTAACATCTTCATCACTGACAGTTTCGTCCGATTCCTCAGTGTCATCATTATTTTCAGATGAGTCTACACCATCGTCTTCAATTATTACATCTTCTTCGATTCAATGTCAACATCTTTTTCAGGATACTCAGTAGTATTTGCTGTAGTTTTGCTGTCCTCATCATCATCGTCGTCATCATAATCTTCACAGTCAACATCACCGAAGTAATCGCAATCTCTGAAACGTTTAGGTTTTTCGGTATTCGCAGATTTTTCTGTAGTTACCGTAGCCGGTGTAGTGTTTGTTACAGCTGGACTATTTGTTTGTTTTTCAGTTGTGGTCTTTGGTTTATTGTCTTTATTATCATTTACTTTTGAATTTTTATCATTGTCAGTGCTCGGTTTCTTGTCTTTAGCAGAATTACTAGTTTCTGGTTTTTGATCTTTTGGTTTATCTTTAGAGTCTGGTTGTTTATCTTTAGGTGTTTCTGTAGTGTTTGGTACTTTACTAGATTCCGTTGAAGGTGTTTTCTTGGTTATATCAATCTTTTCAGTTGTAGTACTACTGTTTGGTTTTGGAGTTACCTTTTTGGAATCTGGTGCTTTTTCATTGTCCTCATTTTCAGTAACTGGTTTCTTCGTTTTATCAGTAGTGGTATCTTTTTCATTACTTTTACTGTTTTCCTCGTTTTCCCAATCTTCGATGCTATCACATTCTTCAAAACTTGGTTCATCATCTATTGGACGACTTACTGGTGGTTTGATTAAATCTGGTCTGACAGGCACTTTTCTTATTGGTTTATCTACATTGATTGTAACAGGTATTTTTCTGATTGGTTTGATAATTGGCATAGGCACTTTTCGTGTAGGTTTTTCTTCTTTTATAGTTGGTTTTTGGTTACCCGTATTAACTGGTTCTGGCTTCTTCGTTGATGTATTAGGTTTGTCCTTTTCAATGTTTGGTGTTTGGTCAGAGTCGGGAGAATTAGCGCTTGGTTTTTTGTCTTTATTAACTTCAGTTGTTGGTTTGTCTGTTGTACCCGATTTAGGTTCCGGCTTTTCAGTTCCTGGTCCATTTTTAGGAGTTTTATCATTCGTTTCAGAGCTATCAGTTGTGGTAACTGGTTTATCAGTATTACCAATACCAGGTTTATTTCGTTGTTTGTCGTTTTGTGGGTTATTAGTATCTGGCTTTTTGACACTGATGGGAGTTTTGTTTTCTGGTAATTCGTCTTTGTTTCCTGAGTTTGGTTTGTTTCCGTTGGCGGATTTTTCAGTAACTGGTTTGTTACTACCGTCTTTGTTGTTTGGGCTTGGTTTCTCAGCAGTTTTACTATTTGGTGTTTCCTCGTCACTATCGTTAGATTCTGGTATGGCTTTGTTTGGTTGCTTTACTGGTTTTTTCTGACCTTTCCTTATAATGTCTTCAGTTTCAGTTGTAGTCCTATGTTGTTTGTTATTTACTGTTGAATCTTCAGAATCTTCTGTTGTTATAGACACGAATTCTTCATCGTCATCTGAATCTTCATCTTTTTTCGGTTTTACATCTTTAATTGGTTTCTTCCTAATAATAGAGGGTTTATTATCGTGTTTTATTTCTTTAGAGTCAGGTTTAGGAGTTGTGTCTTCACTTTTCTTTTCATTGGGAGTATTGATACCTTTTATAGGCTTTTTATCTTGTACTTTATCAACGTTTTTGACTGGCGATTTCTCTGTAACATCTGGTTTCTTTGTGGTAGTAGTCAGTCCAATGGTCTTTTCAGTTGTAACGGTACTCTTGTCAATGTTTTTGTCAGTACTGTTATCTAGTACGTTAGGTTTTTGATTATTTTTCTTGTTTTCAATAACAGGCTTTATCGGTTGATTCTTGTTTGGGGTTTCAGTAGATGGAGCGTTTTTATTATTTTCTAAATAATCTTCTTCATCATCGCTATCCTCAGATTCATCATTGCTTTCACCAACAACTTTGAAAGTAAATTTCTTGCGTGGTTTCTTTGTAGTTTGTTCACGGGTAGCTGATCTGTCATTTTCTGGTCTGTCGGTCTCATTATCGTCACTCAAATCCCCAGGTTTACGGTTCTTATGTCCCAAAATCCTTTTGATTCTAGTTTCAGTTCTACTATTTTGACTACTGCTACTTTCTTCTTCTTCTTCTTCGGTATATGATTTTATTATTTTATAATATTCGTCATCTTCATCGTTATCTTGGCTGTCGTTTTGCGATTCAGAATCTTTAATAGTTTTGGGTGTTGGTTTTATGGCAGGTGTATCATCTTCCTTATTAGTGGTAGTCTTAGGAGCAATGGTAGTAGCTGGTTCTTTAGGTAAAGGTTTTTGGTTTATATCTTCAACAGGTTTTACATCATCAAGTTTTTTCGGCTGTCTGGTTTTATCAATGTACTCACCTGGTACTTTAGGAATTCTAGGAATTCTTGGAATAGGTTTACCGATTTGTGGAATAGGTTTTTGAGTAGTAGGATTTACTTTCTCATCTTTAGCTGTAGTTGCGTCTCTTTCTTCTTGAGCTGGGTTATATCCATGAACATTTTGATCTACATCTTTATCTTTTTTCGGTGTATAGATGTATGGCTTTGTAATTGGTTTTCTTTTAACTATCTTGTCTTTGTTGCCATCTTTTACAGCGGGTTTTGGAGTTAAGTCTTCATCTATAGGTATATCATGAGCATGAAGAATTACTCCTGAAGGAGTTCTGATGATATGGGTTTTCTTCTTTTCAGGAATTCCTTTGACTACTGGTGTGGGTTTTACCAAATCAGTGGGGTTATCCGTATCATCAGTGGTTTTCGGTTTTGTACTATCATCTACAGGTTTCGTTTCAACAACGTATGGTAAGTCACTATTTTGATTTATAACGTCATTTTCTGATTGTTCAACAATTTTGTCAGCACCAGGTTTGTTAGGCGCATCCGAAAATTTGTCAATTGCCGTTGGAGCTGCATCAATTTTCTTGTGAATTACATTTCTTGGTGGATAAATGTTTTTCTGAATCGGTATCCTCCTTGATACTGGTAGTTTCTTGATTTTGTTAGTTACTTTATCTACAGGTATCGGAGTTTTAGGTTCTTTGTCATGATTTTTATTATCTTCAACAGGTTTAGTGATGGGAACAGGTTTCTTAACAAGAACATCATCAGAACTATCATTATCATCATCGTCTAAAGGTGTGACATCAACGTTCTTCTTTCCAGTTCTATTTACAATTGTGGTAGTGCTCTGTTTAGATCTTTTGTTAGTTTCTTGTGAGTTTTCAGTGCTTTCCTTTGTAATAAATGTTCTGTCAATGATAATGTCATCATCGTTAATAGACCTACCATCTTTTTCAATAACAGTATCTTCAATGACGTCATGCTTCTTTTTGTTAGAGTTATTATCATATGTTGGACTGTATGAAACCTCTGGTATGAAGGTCGGTTCTGGATGGAATTCACCTTTATAAGGTTTGACATATCCATTAAACCCAGTAGGTTCTGGTACAAATCTTTCATTTGTAAAAGCTGTTTCTTCAGGGATCACAACTGGAGAACCGACGTATGGGACAGCGTTCTCGTAGTACCGTATTCTTTGCTTAGGAATCACATATTCAGGTATGTTTTCAGCGACTGGAATGTAACGTACAGGTGAAATTCCATACACATTTGGAATATATTCTTCCGAATCCTCTGGAATTAATATTCCAGAATCGGGCACTTCTATACCAATACCATCGTAGTTTACTGGCCTATTAATATACTCTGGCACTATAGCTGGTACGTATTGTACAGTGTCAGTTTCATAATTCACTGGCTTTTTCGGACCTCGTGCGTAATCTATAGCACTTAAAACGTGGTCAATACCACCTACTGGGTGCTCTGGAGTTCCAAGTTCAGGAATATTTCCAGCTATAGGTACGTCTTTAGCGGTATTAGTTTCGTCATTACCATTGACAAAGTTTACTTTGGTTCCGTCATTTTGATTATCATTTGGATCAGGAGCCATGCCGTGATTGATTTTATCAGGAACATCATGTTTATCCTTTTTATGATTATAACCTAAAGCGTTAAGCACTTCATCTAAACCAGGTTTTGAATGACCAGAACTGCCTCCATAATGTCCGTTAGCTGGCACATACTTTACTTGATTTCTAGCATCCAAACTAGGGTTTCCAATTTCATAGTTATGGAATCTATTAAAATGGTCGTTGCTTACAGCCTGGTATCCAGGCACGGGTTGATATCCAAAGTGACGGTGAGGATGGACTCCAGATTGAGGAATGTATCGTCTGAACCACCCATTAGGATTATGACTCACGTAGCCGTTACCGTACCATCCATTATGACCGAAGTTTCCATTCGCATCACTGGAATGTCCATAATGGGCGTGGTTGTCATGGTAAAATTCGTTTCCGTTTCGTAGATTACCGTCGTGATGGTGGTGGTTGGGTAGATGGGTAAGGCCGGAATGTCTGATGGGTAACGGGCGGACTATTGGTGCTACAGGTTGGGCGGGAATGCTTGGGTTGTAGTGTCCGTGTCCGTGGTTTATGGGACCTGAAAATTAAAAAAGGTTTCATCAAATCTAAATTCATTCAAAGGTCTTCTTCGTTAGCCTAGTGGTCGAAAATGCGACTGCCAGGCAAGAGGTATCGGACTCAATTGCCGAGTCGGGCAAAAGTATTACTGGATTTTTTAACAATTCTCAGTAGTAGCACGGAGATTGGAGTTGTGCCCGGTATATGGCAATAGGCTCACCCCCTAGGCCCCTATTACATGGGATTCATAACATAAATAGTGAAAAGTGAGTGTTACATTGTACAGTGACATTAAGTGCTGTAATGTGCACCTCTACCTACCCCTTCGGGGATAAAAGGCGTAATGTTATGTCTCCCTCTTGAGATGGTCTTTGTTATAACCCTCAGTTAACAAGTTTGCTTTTTTCAGGGGGGAAATCATTCAATGACTTCTCCCGCCCGGGTGAGGTGAGAGAGAGTATCAGACTGTTACTGATTAAAAACCACCCGTTCCTACTCCTGCTCTTCGAGCCGAAGCCCCGGCAACCCGATAAGCCTTCCGCGTCTCCGTATCGAGCATCACTCCTACTGAACATTTGAACATTTTTGAGCACGCCTTGCATACTATTTTAGAGCCTGTATGACAGGCGACCGCCACTGCTGGCAGAACCCCACGGTCGGACCAACCTATTAAGCGAAGCGCCGCTGACGCGTGCACTTCGCACGCTCAACCTGATTTCTAATGAAATTGACCTATTTTGTTGTACTCTGGGTGAATTCACAAGGAATGCATTATATGTAATATGCTATAGGTAGATATTAAGATGAGCACATTTATCGCATTGGGCATTAATCTGTAAAGATAAATGTAAGTGGAATAAATAAATAAATAAAGTATTTTCTAGTAGAATCGACATTCACAGTAATAATAGATGTAGTGATAAATATCTTTTACTAAGTATATCGTATATTTAATTATTTAAGTACCTTGATGACCATCCCCAACGTTGCTGGTAGCCTGGGCAAAGTAACTGGACTGTCTGCTTGAGTCCTGAGAGCTCTGGCTCTCATCATGAGACTCCGAGATAGATTTAGTATGCTTTAGCACTCCACCGTCGTTGGAAATTTCTGGAATGATCAATATGTATATTACAGTTTACGAAGTTTTGAAGGAAATCTTATGTATCTAATGGCAAGCGAATTTCAAAGTTGTCATTAATAAATTGATTCAAAAGGGGAGGATTCCTTATAGGTTTTGTTTTTTAGTAAATAACGTTTAGATAGATGTCGTTGTGGCCCTGAGGTTAAGACGCCCGCTTGTCATGCATGAGAGTGCGGACTTGAAAACTACCAACGGCAAGTACCAATGTGATGATGAATGAATTACTGTTTCAGTTTCAGGTATGGGTGTCATGTGTATTTTTTGGGACCAGCTCGCCACAACCTCCCAAAACCACTGCAACTCCTGTAAGCCAGGATCTACAGTAGATACAACCATACAAACACCGGAACACTGAAGTCTAACGTCTCAAGGACATGAATAACTGTCTTGGTTCCCGCAACGAAGTGAATCGGTTGGGCATCGTTTTAAAAACCGCTGACTAATTAAAATTTAAATTAGCGTCTCGTTAAATTTAATTATTATTCTTGTTTATTTTTTTTTTAATTAAGTTTGTAATTAGGTATGTGTATTATGTTCCATAAGTAGACAGAGAAGATTATTGTCTGTAAACACGCTAGATTAAGAACTTACTAAAGGTATAAAAATTTTGTATGTCTGTACAGACACAATGTGGCGCACTACCATAATATTATCTACCATCTATTGTAACATACCTACATTGACGAAATAAATAATATTTGTATTTGTATTAATACTGTGTGAGAGCGATATTTTCAGTCATTGAATGGTTATCGAAATAACCAGACCATTGTGCATTCGTTGCATTGCCAGGGAAAAAAAGGGTTTTTTTTTTATGGGACAAGCCCGCCACAACCTCCCAAAACTGATACAACTCCTGTAGGCCACGATCTACAGTAGATACATCCATGAAAACACCGGAACATTGAAGTCTGGCGCGTCCTAGGGACATGAGTAACTGTCTCGGTTCCCGCAACGAAGTGAATCAGGAGATATTATAAGAATTGGGCAACGCTTTATTTATTTATTTATTTATTAAACTTTTTGCACATACAGTGAAATTGGCGGACTTAATGCCGTAGGCATTTTCTGACAGTCGACCATTGGGTGGTGCAGAATGTTAAAGCGGTAGGTGCAAAATTGTAAAAAGAAAGTAAGTATGAAGAAATAAATCACAACTTACCCTCTTTAATATTCTGATTCACATCAAAAGCACTCTCCCCCTCGCTGTTCCTCTCCCGTTGAGACCCAGCCTGGGTATGTACCACCCTGCCTTGGTCTACATCCAGACTGCTGGTACTTTCTTCATCATATGCACTTGCCTTCTGATGTCGTCTCCCGTTCGCTTGGAACGAGCTGTCGTAGCGAGCGTTGTCGATTTCATGGTCTGAAAGATGAAATATTATGAAAATTACATAGTTACATTATATCCAGAACATACCTTTTGGTTTTCAGAATTTGTTTTAAAGTTCAATATTAATTAAATTGCATGTATCACTCTTATCACTTTTTTATGATTAACATAATACTACTTTGCGACTATTAACATATACAACTAAAAATATTAAAAAAATAATTTAAAACTAAAATATTTACACTAAAAAAAAAATAATAAAAAATCATGAGGCAGCAAAGAAAACATTTTCCTCATCGCTACCGTGAGGTAGGGTGCCCAAAAGTTTAAAATTAAATTTTTAAAGTTAAAAATTACGATTTGAGCTCAGCCCACATAATTTACTGTATCTTAGTGAGAGTAAAATTTCCATTTCATTAACTAAAATCGCGGGTTTCTCACGTGAATATACTGAGAAAAGCTCTACTAGTTTCGACCCACAGAGGGGTTCTTCCTCATGAGCAGCACGCTCACGGCGATGTCGCGCAGCTCACTGAGACCTGACTTGACTCGTCGCCACGAAACTAGTAGAGCTTTTCTTAGTATATTCACGTGAGTAACCCGCGATTTTAGTTGAATTTGAATGAATCTACTTCTTCACCTGAAACTTGAATCCACCGCGAGTCCTTGCGACCTCTTTCCATCAATGAGGCAATATAACATCACGATTGCTCTTTTTGAAACAATTTTACTTGATTGTATTGAGAAGTCGGAAAATAATCATCATCAACAGCGTACCTATATTGTTTTTTTTTAAGGGGGGAAAATCATCGAATGACTGCTCCCGCCTGGGTGAGGCGGGAGGGAGTGTCAGACTCTTACTGACTAAAAACCACCCCGTTCCTTCTCCTGCACGTCGAGCCGGAGCCCCGGTTACCCGTTAGGTTCTCCGCGACATCAACAGCGTATAAAAGCCTCTTCTCACACGGAGGGGGTTTAAGCATCAATCACCATGCTTGCTCAATGCGGGTTGCCGATTTCAAACTTAGTTATAACTAGCTTTTACCCGCGGCTTCGCTCGCGTCACAAAAGAATAAAAAGTAGCCTATGTGACGTAAACCAATACAAACACCGCCATCTATACCAATACTTTTGTTTTTCCTCGGGAATATCAATTTTTCCGGCTTAAAAAGTACCCTATTATTTAATCCGGACTTCTAACTTTACGTCTGCAAAAATTCAAAGCAATCGGTTGAGTAGAAACTCACTTTCAGATTTATTATATTAGTAAGGATTATATTAGTAAGGATAGTAAGGATTATATTAGTAAGGATTAAAAATTACAAGCCCAGGTCAGAGGCTCACGATCTTTGCTCACGATGTCTTCCTTCATCGTTTATCAGGTTAAAGGAAAAAGGATAGAGAAAAAAGATTATGAAATATCTCTGTACTTACTTGGTAAACCATCGGTGGCTACGAAAGCCTGTGAAATAAGAATAGCTGTTTTAGAAAAGTATAATTACAAACCTTTTTATTAAATAACTAGCGACCCGCCCCGGCTTCGCACGGTTGCAATATGCATGAATTATACATATAAACTACACGGTTGGTGCGGTGGCTGGGCAACCGGCTGCCGTGCAACGTGTCGCGGGTTCGATTCCTGCACACTGCACACTTTTTGTGATCCACAAATTGTTGTTTCGGGTCTGGGTGTCATGTGTATGTGAACTTGTATGTTTGTAAACGCACCCACGACACAGGAGAAAATCCTAGTGTGGTGCAACATTCCTTTTTTTTTTAAAAATCGTTCTTATACAAAAAAAATATAAACCTTCCTTAAGAATCACTCTATGTATTAAAAAACCGCATCAAAATCCGTTGCGTAGTTTTAAAGATCTAAGCATACATAGGGACAGACAGACGGTGGATAGAGACTTTGTTTTATACTATGTAGTGAAAAGCTAATTTCAACCATATCGTCCCTACAGTTACAGCATAAAGCCCACTTCGGACAACTTAACATTCGACAAACTTATATTTGCGGTTTGGTACAGTCACTGTGTATAGGAGTCGAGTCGCACAATTAAATTTGTTTTTTTGTGTGTATACTTTTCCGGGATAAAAGTACCCAGTGTGATGCTTAAGATATTAAAGTACAATCATACCAAGTTTCATTGTAATCTGACCAGTAGTTTCTACGTGGTACGTGAACATACAAACAGACAGACTGACAAAAAATTATTTAATCACATTTGAGTTTGGTGTCTATCTAGTAACACACCCTACAATTTTTTTTTTGTATATTTTCAGTGTACAAAATGTACGGGTCTTTTTTTTAAGGGGGAAAATCATCGAATGACTGCTCCCGCCTGAGTGAGGCGGGAGGAGTGTCAGACCATTACTGACTAAAAACCACCCCGTTCCTTCTCCTCCACGTCGAGCTGGAGCCCCGGTTACCCGTTAGGTTCTCCGCGAAAGAACTTACGGGTCTACAGTTTTAATATATGTATAGAATGATATGTAGTAATAATAAGTAGGGTGTTCCTTGTCTATGGTCCGCAGATAATATTAGATATTATGTATTCTATGATTTTAGTAAAATAATGAGTCTGTGGACCATGGACAAGATTTCATTATTAATTTCATTTTTAATTTTTTAGCTTTTATTTTATTTTTTAGTTATGTTATGTGTGTTCTGCGCAGAAATAAATGGTTTTTCTTTCTTTCTTTCTTTCTTCATATTTTTTTTATAAAATACTTTTATTGTCTATCGCGCATCACTGTTATGAGTCCCATGTAATAAAAGGTCAGCCATAAAAATGCGTAATAAATCCCAAACCTATTTAGACTTTAAATCAAATAAGACTTTTACACGACGTGGGTAATCTAACTAAAACCTTGACAACTTTGAGTATCTTGTATCTTGCGTTAGTGAGCGAGTTTTAACAAAACTATCGCAATTTTATTTTTACCGACTTCAAAAAAAAGGAGGAGGTACTATGTTCGGCTGAATGTTTTTTTTTGTTTGTTCGCGCAGTACTCCGCTATTTGTGAACCGATTTCCAAAATTCTTGTTTTGTTTGAAAGGGTATACTCCCAAGATGGTCCCATTTCCATGAGGTCAGGATCTGATGATGGGATCCAAGAGAAACCGAGGGGAACTTTCGAAAATCCTAAGGGCGAGTAATGCGTCTATTATGTTTTTCAATTACGATTTTTTAACACTACAATTTTTTACTTTAAATTTGTTTTTTTAACTCACCACTAAACAGATGATCACCACTCCACGCCACATTTTGAAATGATTTCACCGAAAACGTACGCAATCAATTTTATAACACCACATAGAAGTGTCAAAATTATTTGTTTCTAAACAGTCTGTGCAAATAAAAATGGCGGGTAAATAAGTAACGTATTTTATTTGAATTGAACGTGGATTGTTAAATTACTAATTGTGTATTCAATTGTTTAATTTCTTTTGTTAATTATTGTTAAGCTTAAGATTTTGGTGTACTGTTTTGTTATTGTATTTAGTTATTCGGGTTTTGGCAAGCGTGAATCGTTTTCAGAATTTGGGGTTTCGTATAATTGTTTAAAATTTTGTTTCTTTGTCCACAAACCCAAATTACTCAGGTAACTGAGCCTAATGTACCTCCCTACCATGCTGGATAAGGGAACTTGAGGAAAAGACTAATAGAGGGAATTTGAGGGAAAGACTAACAGAGGGAACTCGAAGAAAAGACATTTTTTTTGTAAGCGGGCAATATCATCGAATGACTAAAAACCACCCCGTTCCTTCTCCTGCACAAGAAAAGACTAATTGAGGAAACTTGAAGAAAATGACCTTCTTTATCAAGCTGGATCATGAGGGGCCAATCCTAGTTGTAGATGGCGTGTGGCTAGATCTGGAAGTCATTGTGAGAACCCTATGTTTAGCATCTTGTGGTGGCGATGCAGACGGCATAGAAGAAATAACAGCTTCTTTACTTAACCCGCACATAAATCCTCCTCGCATCACCGACAGGCGAAAATTTGGGGCCTTGTGGAGGCCCGGCTTCAAAGCCTCAAACACATGCGTAAGATTGCTAGCCTTTCGGTTTTCTACCGGATACATTTCGGTGAGTGTGCGGGGGAATTGCACAACTTGATTCCCCCTAGTCCTTTCACAAGACACTCGGAACACAAGACACAAGACAATCGGCGAAGCGTCACCGATTCATGGTAGATGTCCCACTCACACGCACGAAGCGCTTCGTATCAAGCTTCTTTAAGCGCACGGCTAAGAAATGGAGTTCTTTGCCAGAGTCTCTATTTCCTGAAGGGGTGTCTTCAAGATCCGAGTGAATAGGTTGCTTAAGGGACGACGTGCTCCATCGTAGACAGCATCATCGCTTACAACCAGGCGAGATATTGGTCAAACTTCGGCCTATTAATAAAAAAAAAACAAAAAGGTACTAGCGACCTCAATTATGCCAAAGTCTTTTTTGCCAAACTGTATCTTAGTTTAAATTTTATAATCCCTTTATGAACTTATAAAAACAGTACCCTAACAAGATGTTGTTTTCAAAGTACATCTAAAGTGTTAGTTTAATTTTAACACACAAATACATAGCTAACTTATTTATATTTACACAAGTACCTACCAGTATCATTAGAACCATTTGTCATCACAGAAATTACTCACATTTTCTAACAAGCAGTTGTTCAGACACACACTACAATTTTGAAAAGCGGACACGAGTGAAAAATTAGATATTGTTTGTAGGTATATGTATATTATTCAGTGCAAGTTTTAGTTCATTCGTTGATTAGTGAAGCAAGTTTTGTTTTTTGAGGGTGGAAAATCATATAATGACTTCTGCTGTCTTGGGTGAGGCGAGAGCGGGTATCAGAATCTCACTGACTATAAACCACCCCGTTCCTACTCCTGCACTTCGAACCGGGACCCCGGTAACCAAGTTAAGTCCTCCGTGGCTCCGTATCGGCATCAGCCCTATTGGGCCCCACTGGTGATCTGATGGCTGTTTTAGGCGCGCGTACGCTCTTCCGTCTCACGACGGTTAGTACTTAAGGAGGTTCCTTCCATAGTGATAATAGACCCGTCATTGATTACTGATGAAGGATAAATAATTTCTCGTAGAAGCCATTGACAAATGCAGCGCAGGATATCTACCTACAAGGTGGACAGACGATCTAACAAAGGTCGTAGACATCACCAGGTAAGACCCAATACCTACGTATGTACTTGCTTCGGCAGTACATAGACCAAAATTGGAACGATACAGAAAAGACAAGCATGGCCCATGCGCAAGGAAGACAAGAATAATCGTGAAGCGTTCCACATTTTTCACGCGGTCCTCAAAGCGCCATCAGACCACCACGGATGGGGCTCAACAGCGCTGATGCCGATACAGAGCCGCGGAGAACGTAAAAGGTTACCGAGGCTCCGGCTCGAAGTGCAGGAGTAGGATCGGGGTGGTTTTTAGTCAGTAAGAGTCTGACATTGGTAGGGCGGGAGGGATCCCGCTTCACCCAGGCGGGAGAAGTAATTCGATAATTTTCCCCCTTAAACGGGGAGGACTGTGAGAAGCAGCGAACCGTATATGGCTGATTGCATGGTGATGATGATGAGACCGTAACTTAAGGTATGTTCTGGAGGTAAGGTCATTGAGTTACTGCTCCCGCCTGGGTGAGGCGGGAGGTAGTGTCAGACTCTTACTGACTAAAAACCACCCCGTTCCTTCTCCTGCACGTCGAGCCGGAGCCCCGGTTACCCGTTAGGTTCTCCGCGACAAATAAATAAGTCTATGTAATAACTAAAAATCGCGGGTTACTCACGTGAAAATACTGAGAAAACGTCTTCTAGTTTAGTTTTAGTTTAGATTAGAAGGTTGCGCGACATCGCCGCGACCGCACACGCTGCTCATGAGGAAGAATCCCTCTGTGGTTCGAAACTAGTAGATCTATTCTCAGTCACGTGAGTAACCCGCGATTTTTAATTAATTTAGTATATCTCACGTATGTATTTTAAGTAGGTACAAAAATTATTTTAAAATAATTAACAAAGAATCATAAATTCATTTATTATATAAAGTTGAACGTATGATAAACCTGTGTCAATTAATAAATTAATTGAATTTAAACAATGTGACATGTTTTTTGGTTTATTCTCTTATTGTTCTAAATTATTGAGAATTATGTTGAACTAGCGACCAGCCCCTGCTTGGCACAGGTTAATTGGGTAGTTTCCAGGGTATCAAAATTAAAAATCTAATTAGTCCGTCAGTTGGATAATGAAAAAATATTAGACACGTATTCTTTTATTTTCTCGTATTGAGTTGCAATACTTAGATAAAATGGCGCTAAGTTACGGAGTGTGATGTTGCTACGTCA